GACGTGTCCAACATTGGGTGAAGATGTGGGCATAAGACATACAGAATTGCACTGGGTATTCATGGATACAGTAACACGGAGTTCATCGGGTACAGGAACATACAACTCTCATGTAGTACCTCATATGGAAGTGCAGTTAGAGCTGGAGTAGGATGTTTGTGGCACAGAGCACTTTCCCAGGCCTAGGCATAGGAAGTTCAACAATGTGATGACCAATGCAGACCCTGGCTGACCCTCCAAAGCCCACACAAAGGGAGGACTGACATTTGCCAACTGGAGGACAGAAGGCAGAACACCAAATATGCCTTCCAGAATTCTGTAATGATTTTCTGAAAAAGCTGGTCCTCACTCCTCCCTCTTCCCAGAGTCAGTGACTGAATCACAAGCAGGTGCTCGCAAGGCTTCTACTGAGAGATCCAATTACTGATCTCTGTGTGTGGAAGGTTGCATGGAGGGTGGTGGATCTCACACACAGTAGGCTGAGCTCTCAGGAACACTTTTTCAAAGTGATTCCACAGACTGAGAGCCTAGACCGACACTGACCTCATGCCAAATCACCATTGCATGTGGTTTGCTCTGGGATGGAGAGGTTGAGACTAGAGTTCTGTCTGCTTCATTCATTTCAGAAATTTCAGGAGCTAGTGAGGACTCAGATCAATGGAGTGGATATGAAATATTTCCTCTCTTCTCTTTCACCCTCCATGTCTTACTCTTGCTTTTTCTCATCAATCTGTGTATGAAGGCCTGGGAGGGGGGGCAACAAATAAAAGTGAGAATGGACGAGTATTAAAGGGAAAGGGAGGAAGGACACACCAGCCTCCATCTGTGTGTCTTGCTGCAGCTTCTGTATACATTGTTGATAATTCTGAACAGGGAGTAAGCACAGGGAGACACAAGCAGACACTCACACACAGACATAAGCACAGCTCACACACAACTCAACCTTGGGCTTACCTGTCTGCTGCAAATTTGTCATTTGGCTGGGTTAGGAATGATAAACGAATCCTGGCTGCTTCTGGTTTCATGTAGTAAAGGGGGAAAAACGCACCCAGCAGCAGGTCTCCATCAGTGTCGATACTGGAGCCCAATGGCTTATAGCAGTACTGGGGCTGGCTGTCCTGGGAACTGCCCCAAGCATTCAGGAGCAGGCACAGAAACATGACAGGCAATGGCATGGTATAGCAACCCATTACCGGGATCAAGCCCCAAGCACCTTCAGATAGTAGAAGCATGGGAGCTGGTTTTTGTTAGCATTCTCAGCTGTTTCTGTGGAGGCTAAAGCAGCATTCAGGGCACCCCCATTTCCATCTCCAGTATGCTGTATGCCTTCTACTTGTAGATAGTATGCAAGTCTGTGGAGCCACACAGGGACACAAGTCCAAAGGGAGATGCTTCACAGTTCATCCCATCAGTGAGGCCATGGCCTCTGGTCCTTGTGATCAGAACTCAGGGGATCACTGTGCCCGGAGGCTGTGCACCTGCCAGTGTCCATGATGAGCAAAAACACCTCTGAACAAACAACCTGCTTTGGACTCTCCTAACTCCTCTAGAGCACACAAGAGTATCAACTCTGAAGTTTTTACCCAGGGGACAAACATGTTATGTTCATTTTGAGAAGTTTGGAAGTTTTAGAGAGTTAGTGTTGGAATTAATACACACACACACACACACACACACAATCAGGTTCATTATTTCATATGACAATTTATCAAGAAGGTCACACATTGAAAAAGGTAGGGACATCTGTGCAATCAGTGGGGAGTGATGTAAACTCCATCAGGGATTGAGTGGGAACTGTCTGCTAGAGGACTTTTGCTGCAAACTTTAACAAAGGCAGGCTTCCAGCTCGTGGAGAAGAACCTTAGCACTTCAACTGCTTCTGCCCCCAAGACATTGACTCACCACTTTGATTTTTCTGTGGGTCTCACGAATGCATGGATACATCTCAGTGTTTGCAAGATGAAATGAAAGTTTAGTAGTATTAGGTCAAAAAAATTGGCAAATCCATGCAATAAATTGTTCAGAATTCACCTGTCGTGATGGAAGATACCTTATAATACCTTGATAAACTTGTATATGTAATCCACTCAGTTCTACATTGACAAGTATGATTAGCTCCATTAACTCATAGAAGACATAACATAGGTTTGTGTCTGTCTCTATCTTGGCCTCCTCTATGAGGTTTTCCTTTTCACTTGATAGCCCAAGGATCAGTGTTTGCCCCAATTTCTGATATCTGCTTAAAAGCTACGTATAGAGTGTCTTTAAGCTTGTTTGCTGGGTCACATGTCCATTACACAGGGCATAACTGATATGTCTTTGTTGAAACCACTATTATTTAAGTCTTAAGAACTTGAAGACTTAGCATTCCCCACATCCAGAATGATATTTAGGGAACCAAAGCTGATTTCAAGTGTGTTTCTCGGGGTTGAGTATAGGCAAGAACATGACATCCATCAACTATTCCTCTTCCTGTTCTAACATGGCAAAGACTGTGAGTCTGTTCACTAGTAGTCATTTTCCCTTGCTTATTTATTTAAAGAAAGAAAGGGGAAAAAAAGAAAGAAGTTATTCCAGTTGTTCATGAACAGTAGTGAAAATAACCTTTTCAGGGTTTTCCTGAAGCTAACCCAGGTGTTGTTGCACGGTGCTAGTCCTAAGGAGTAGGTCAGTCAGTGATGGGGGCGGGTGGGCACAAGACTTTTTCTCTGTTTTTTCATTCTTTTGCATGTGGTCTCATAGTCTAGAATCTGAAGAGCCATTTTTTGGACCATGGTGACAAAAGCCACAGTCCACTAAACAGAAGAAAGTCAGCTGTTTGCATTCCTCAGAAGCCTCTCATGAACTAGCAGCTCCAGGTTGCTTCTGTGATTAACAACAATGCATCATCGACTTAGTTCAACCCCAAGTAATGTGTGGTTCACTTTTGAGTTGATGTAGCAGTAACTTTCAGCTAAATGGAGTAACCGATAAACCTACTCATTTTATCCATGTTTCATGTTTCTTTGAAAAAATGCATATTCTCTGCTACCTGGACACAGTACGTGAACACAGCCTAAGTGTGTGTTCAAATATAGTTTGTGTATTCGGTATCTTTTTCTTTATTCAGCAGTGGAGGCTGTGAAATTTTCCACTATGGTTACACATTAACGTTCTTTCTGTAATTCTGTTCTATTTAATTTATATATTGTATGTGCTTATCCACATACAGGGTTAGATATTTTCATATGATTTCTTCTTTGTGAAGGGACCATGTTTTTACATAGAAAAAGATTATAATACATGAATAAGACATAGTGAAACATTTATACAGCACCTCTCATAAACTAAGCACTCTTCTAATTCCATATGAAGATTATTGACTATATATCGTTGTACTATTGTTATTAATAATTATCTTATTTTATGATCCTGTATAATAATATGTACATTCATTATCCCCATTTTATGAATGAGAAAATGGGTACAGTGTATTTCAGTTCCTGTGTGAGCTCACTGGCTTATAACTGATACAACCCAGATTTGAAACCATATTTGAGTAATAGGAACGTTTCCTAGTCAAAAACATTTCTGTATGCCAAGCGAGGTCCTGTAATGAAAATACTTCATGCTAATTAAGGTGAGACAGTGTCACTGTCCCACAGCGATGGACTTGGTGCACGCATAATAACACACGTGGACCCATCGGTTTCATTGGGAATCCATCTTTTGTTTGAAAGCAGGGACACATGTTCCATTATTCCCCCACATCTGTATATGATAGACCCCAGTGCTCCATCACTGTACATTACCATAAGTGAGAAGCCATGAAACAAGGTCAACAAATGGTAGGAGTTAGAACTGCCACAACAACAACATCAACAACAACAAATTATGGCACCATGAAAAAAAAAAGTGCCACTAAGTAACCAACACATGAGTGACAAAAAGGAAGCACAAAAGCCTCTTGGGAAAAATGATACCACCGTATGATCCATGAGCCAGTGATGACATCGGCAAGAGAAAAGAAATTATTTGGAATAAACAACACTAAAATAAAAACCATCAAAACACATGGGATGCAGCAAAAAAAAAAAAAAAAAAAAGCAAGCAAACAAAAAACAGTATGGATCGGATTATTGAAGTTACACTTTCCATGTTGGCTTCCTTATATAAGAGAGAACATATGGCATTTGTTCTTTTGTGATGGACTCATTTCCCTGAGCATAATGGTCTCTAGTTGGGACCACCTGGTTGTAAATAGTATAATTTCATTCTTCTTAATAGCTGAATAATTTCCACTGTGGGAATCAGTATGGAGAGTGCTTGGAGAATTGCAAAAATAAACCTGCCATATGACCCAGCTATCCTGCTCCTGGGAATATACCCAATAGGAATGAAATCTGAACGTGAGAAGGGGATCTGTAATCCTACTTTTGCAGCAGCACAATCTACAATAGCAAAGACGTGGAGACAATCCAGATGTGCATCCAAAGCAGAGTGGTTAAAGAAACAGTGGAACATCGACTCCGTAGAACTGCTGCATTTGTAAAGAAAATTGATGCTTGACAATGAGCATATTATAAATCTTTGATAATGATATTTACTTTTAAAGGACTTTGTAGGCAATATATTATACACATGTAAATTAATAATGATAAACAATTATAGGTAGAAAAACTAGAGATTCTAAATATTCACTTGAATGTAAAAGACCAATGGGGAAGAACAGGGACAAGTGAGAGCTCGTGTAGTTTATTAAGATTAAAAATAATGCGTGCTTTTCATGAGAAGTAAGGAAGGCAGAAGGCAATAAGAAGGGCTGAGAGTTGTCTAGCCTGCAGTGTGGCGTGTTTCTATCTCTGAATGCCTGGCTGGGAACACTGCGACCCTGAACTGCTTTTCAAAAAGATACACAGATGTCATCACTAACGAGCTTGAGTCACCTCAGTCTATAACATCAGGAGCAGAGGCAAAGTTGTGTCAACTTTGGTTTGTAATTCTAAAATTGTGAGACAGCCTTAGGAGCTGCTCTTGATATGAATATTCCTGAATCCTTTCAGAGAGTTCTTCTCAGGCCGTAGGAGAATGATGTAGCACTTGGGAACAAAGATGCAGCCCAGGAGACCAGCACCGGAGACCAAGATGGAGAAGACCTCCACGGCCACCATCACCTTCCCCTTGGTGCTCTGGTACACAGGCAGGAAGGTCACCCACACACTGCAGAACACCAGCATGCTGAACGTCAGGAACTTGGCTTCATTGAACGTGTCAGGCAGCTTCCTGGCAAGGAAAGCCACAGTGAAGGTGCCCAGGGCCAACGAGCCCAGGAAGCCCAGCACACAGTAGAAGGCAGTGATGGAGCCCTCGTTGCACAAGAGGATGATGTGTCCATGCTCAGAGTGTGCATCTGTGTCCACAAAGGGAGGAGATGTTGCCAGCCAGATGGCACAGAGAGTGAGTTGGATGAGGAAGCAGATGGGAATGACAGCGTTTGGGGCTCCTGACACCAGCAATCGCCTCATGGTCCTTCCAGGCTTCATGGCCTTGAAGGCCAGAACCACAGTGATGGTTTTGGCCAGCACGGCAGAAACAGCCACTGTGAACACCAGGGCAAATGTGATTTGTCTCAGGAGGCAGGTGGCTGTGTTGGGACGGCCAATGAAGAGGAAGGAGCAGAGGAAGCAGAGGAGGAGTGAGATGAGCAGGATGTAGCTGAGGTTGCGGTTATTGGCCTTGACGATGGGAGTGTCTTGGTGCTTCACAAAGACTCCAAGGATGGCAGCTGTGAGGATGGAGAGGGACAGAGCTGTGCAGGCCAGGGCCATTCCCAGGGGATCTTTGAAAGCCAGGAATGTCACTCGCTTGTCCAGGCATCGGTCATGCTCTGCATTGGCATACTGGTGGTCAGGACAGGTCACACACTGGTCCATATCTGGTGAGAAAGGAGAGATGCTTTCAGCTCACTTCTATTTAGTTCTGTATGGTTCACAGGCCCCTCCCTGAGCCCACTTGGGTAACTAGGCCTTAATTGTTGTTGGAGAGAGGGCATACCAAAAAAAAAGGATTAGGAAGAAGTGGCAATTAATAACGCCCACCTTCCCCATTGTTTGGGAGTCAGTCATTCCTTCACCCCACTTGGTAGCCTGTGTGCTGCTTAGAACACTGTGTATTCTCAGATTTCCATGAAGTCTATTGGTTAAGTTCTTGCTGGTTTCAAAAAGTATGCCCTCAACTTTTTCGTTACTAAACTTGTAAATTCTTGGTTCATGTTTTCTTCAACCTTGGAAGGGAAGACCATCGGGGTAGAGATCCCCATGGTCCTGTGTATGCCATACACTCTTGCTGCATCCTCATGTGTGGCGTGAGCAGGCAGCCTGCTCCTGCCTTACCTGAACAGTATACTTCTCTCCCTTCCGTCACAACCTCCTCAACCAACCTCCCAAGCTAATATGATGGGGTGGTGAGTGGTGGAGTTTCAGTGTCACTTGCTGAAAGCACCTGGTCATATTTAGTAGCAACTATGAGAAGAAATGGCACTAGGAGACTGTGTGTGGAGTATGGGCGGGAGGCGTCGTTGGGGTAATATCCCACTTTTGCAGTGCTGATAATGTGCAATTGATTCGCTCTCTGTAAATACATACATGTTTGGAAGCAGAGCATCTCCAAGGGATGACCTGGGTTACAACATGAAAGGGGCCAACAGTGATGGAAAACCACTGTGAGTAAGGCAACTGGTCGCCTTCCAGACAGACAGAAGGGGGTCAGGCCAGCCTCCCTTAACACGCTTCCTTCACGGAACACACTGGACCTTGTGTTGTAATCACATTCTACGTATCCATCACCTGGAAGCCTATTGTTGCATTTCCAAATTCACCTTTTCTCGGCCTTGGGAATGCATCGTCACTCCACTGGTTTCAGTCTCTGCTCTCCTGTCTGTGCATGACTCCATCAAGTTACCAAGTGGCACAAGACTTCCAACACAGAATCAATATGATTTGGGGGCATTTCATCTCTAAAGGCTGTACATGCCTCAACTCAAAGCTTTGCTTTCCAACACCTCAGAGCTTGTAGGTAGAAATGACCCTGATCAGAATCATTCAATCATGGATGCAGGCACTACTGAATGCGATTACGAACACATGGATTAGCCTGAGCGATGCCATCTCAATGCAATGTAATTTCAAAATGATAACACTCTACCAACTGCCTTTCCAGGGATCCCATTTTGTTTTCTGTCTGTTTGCTTCTGTTTTGAACAATTCCTCCTGTGGATCTTCTAGTCACAGAGGTAACACTCTTTATTCTTACAACAGTGTGGTTTCTAACTATTGCCATAGCCGTCCCTGCTTTCACTGATACTGTGCAAACAAGTTTGAATTGAAAACTGCCCCTTCTCCTGTAAAGTTATTGAGATGCTGCTCTTACTGTTTGGTCATCCATCACAGATAAGCGCTGATTTTATGAAATCATTTTTCCTGTAGTTACATTATTATTAGCATGACTAACTCAGGGATGAACACGCTGAATTCTGGGGTGCGCACCGATGCAGACACACCTGAAGGTGCTTTTGCTTATTTTGGGGTGTGTGTGTGTGTGCACATATTTCTGGAAAGTGCCTTACAAACTTCATATTGCTCAAGCAACCAGGCAGGATTCAATCACACCAAATGAATGGTTCTCAAACAGTACCCCATTTTTTTTTATTTTCGAGTGGCCTTGAGCAAATGAGCATTCTTCCCCTTGTGAAAGTTACAAGTCACCGCTACACTGCTGACCGAGCACAAATATTAGAAGAGCGTTTCCTACATGACAGTCAGGCTATCTGGAACGCTCGATGCTTCCTTGATATATCTCATAATCTTCCTCCACAGGAATTCGCAATTTCGTGCAGCTTCTAGAACACGATGGACGAATCTACCACTATGATTCAACATTGATATTCCAGAATCTTTACAGAGGTGTCTTAAGTGTTGTTCAGCCTGAATGAACTCTCAGGGTGCACACACACGCACACACACGCACACACACACACACACGCACACACACACGCGCACACACACACACGCACACACACGCACACACACACGCACACACACACGCGCACACACAGTCAGCATCCTTATCATTTCCTCCTGAACCATCGTCCTGGTGCTTCATAATACTGCTTTGTTCTGTACAAGAATCCACCTGACGCTGTTGATTAGACTCTGTCTCATATTTTCTTCACTTTCCCTCACCTTCACCTCCCGTCTCGAGGGTCTTTGCTGAGTGCGCCCTCACGGATCCACTTTGCTATTTACACTTGGTGTTTGGAGGGTCCGTCCGCCCCTTCCGTACGTGTTGTTCTGGTCTTATTTTATGCCACGCTTCACCCTCCATGTCACCCACCAGCCTTCCTGTGTCATTCAGTCTCTTCTGCATGGTCTTGGTAACACAAGAACATTGCAGCAGGGAGAGCTCCTAATTTAGTAGGATTATTCCTAATTATGTAAACTAATTACTTTCTGAATGTAGGAAGAATTTTTTCTGGAGTGGTACCCCCAAGTCTTCGTATTTCTTTGGGGCAAATGCAAGAACAGCAAAAACAGGTGTAGCAGTTCTTCATGAGAAACACATGCGCTTACCGGTCGCATTGGCAATCTCATTGTCTGGACAGCGGGTGCAGTCGAAACAGCAGGTGGGCGCTCCCTCCCGGGTGGTCCTGCTGAACCCAGGGCCACAGCTGGGGCTGCACGCCGAGCATGGGATCTGTGGAAAATGATGCATCTGTTGGTCACGGGTGGGGCTGGTCAGGAAAACATTCCCAGGAGACTGATTTAGACTTTGGGAATCCCACAAACTTCAATTGTGAATATCTGATTTCTAATACACTGAGTTTATGCTGTGTTCTGTATGCCTGGAGGTCGGGCAATAGATTCATCACCTATAGGGAACAGTTGTGTATGCTTTCCATCCTTCAGAGGATGGGAACATGAGAAAGTATTGAAGTGGAAGAGGGAGTGGTTTAAGGCCCCTCAGGGGATTGGTGAGACCATGGGGCAAAGTGTCGCATCCTGATGATGTCATAGTTTGCGGAGGGGGCCGCATGATGAACTCACCTGTGTGATCCCCGTGGGCCACTCTATCAGCTCCTCAGAGAGAGACAACCGTTGGCCTGGTGGGTCGTAGGGCAAGAAGTGTCCCACTTTGACGGTATGGCCGAGTCCTTCTGGAAAATTCCAGAAGTTGAGAATGTCATATGCTGCAGCCAGCTTTCTTTTCTGGTCCAAATGGACAGGGTCGCCAGCAGGATTGGCAAACTGGAGGCTCTTGAGAATGGAGTGCATCTCCTGTAAGAAACACATCATCCTGTGAGATGGCGGACTACGCGTGAAGACACGGGCCTCTGTTTGTGACCACTGCCTCCTGGAGGAACTGCATCACACCAAGGAGAGAGCACAGAGAATTCCATCCGCTCATGTCAGCTCCCAATCAAGCAAAGAGAAAATGACAAAGATGGTACCCATCCCACACCAGCATGTGGGAGGTTTTGACAGTTCTCTATGCTCTCCACCTTAGATTATTTGTTCGATGTGCTTGTGTGTGACCCACCTCCCAATGGTTTCACATGATAAGAAAGCATCCATGCCCACTGTCCACTAGAGTCCTGAGCTCCTCAAGATGCAGAGAGAGAGAGAGAGAGAACTGAGTGGACGGGAAGCTGAGCTCCTTTGCAGCCGCAGCCCCGGTACTGGCCTTGCACCTAATCTCTCTGGTCCATGGCACATGGCTGGCGATAGAAACCTCTGCCCTTCAGTCCCTGTACCTCCCAGACACTGCACACCTACAGTGGGAACAGAACCAGAGGCTTCTGCAGGGAGGAATATACCCACATGAAGGAGCCCATAGGGAAATACGTCAGCTGGAGCACCTGTCAGGCCAGGAAGACAGCATACCTGCCAGTGGGGAGTCACCACCTTCCCACCAGTCCCTGGCGGCTGTGCTTCTGACTTGTGCTGAAGCATCTTGTGCAAAGAGTGGGCCACAGCGTGTACCGCATTATATATGTAGTAGCTCCCATCATTCATTGTCATGTCAAAAAGATGCCAGGGCAGCCGCTCCAGAGAGGCATCTGGGGGACAGCCTTGCAGCGTCCTGCAGTCAGCTTCGGAAACGGAGCAGTTAAAGGCGAGAGACCAGAACAGGGCAAGGTAAATGTCTTGTGGGTACTTGGCAGGGGTTGCCGTACGTAGGAACGTTCGGAAGCTTGAGATCTCGCTGTGGTGGTGAGAGAAGATGAGGGTCCCGTGGAAGGTGTTCAGCAGGAAGTATTGTGCAATGTTGGCAAATTCCAAGTGGGAGGTTGTGACCCAGACTTTGTCCGTTATCAGATAGTATGCCAGGTAAAAGTTCCTAAAGGATGCCGTGTCACCCAATAGAACAACCACACTAGCTGCTGATGCCACGATGCGAAATATGGGTGCAAAAATTAATGCAGTTTGAAAACGCTGCTGCACTGGAATCAGCTCCACAAAGGCCAGGCACAGGCCATGCTCCTGCATCTCTCTTCTCAGATCAGACACAAACGCCACACCCTCCTGGTGATCCGAGACAACCAGCCCCACCCACGTCCAGCCGAAGTGCAGCATCAGGGAGACCATGGCGAGGGCCAGAGAAGTGTCCTTTGGGGCCATCTGATAGACGGAGGGAAACTGGCTGCTGTCGCTCAGAAGAGGATCCAAAGGGCCGAATGTGAGCTGGGGAGGGAAAACGGTACAACATGTGAGTGATGGTATAGCAGGTGTTATGGTGGCTGGGTTGGGCTGAAAGATGAGACTATTTCAGTTTCCATCCTCTCTCTGTGTCTGAGACCTTTTTGGGTTATCAGCAATCAGAAGCATATATCCAGAGAAGCCCCCTAGCTCCTTCTCAGTTGGGCTCTGTGCTGCCTGAGAGGATCCTGGGGATCCTGCACGCTCCTGCTCAGAGCACCCTCTGTGCCCGCGGTGTGTACCCCATCTCATGACAACCTGTGGGTCTGGGAAGAGCATCTCAATGGAGTGGGTTTTATTCTCTCCCCTTCCCAGGCACCCTCACCTGTGGGATTCGGTACAGTTCCAGCAGCATCCCCGTATGCGCTGCAATTCCAGTCTCTGCTAGCACCGCCACAGCCTTGGCCCCTCTCCTGCACGTGTAGTTAGGGATGCCTCCGTCCAGCCCCGTCAGCCACGCGAGTGGATTCTTCAGGATCCTCATGTCGCTGGGCATGACATTGTAGAGATCAAATCCTAGAGTGAGGTTGGGCAGCAGGTGGGGGTTCCTGTTGATCTCCTCGACAGCAAACATCAGGGCCAGCACGTGCTGGAAGTTCTTGGGCTGAAAGCTGCACATAGAGCAGATTGTTCATTAGGGAGGCCAGGTCCGCCCTGGCGGTCATCACATCCTTAGGGATAAGACACCCAGCTAATGAAGATCACGGCCACCCTGATGGTCATCATGGCCACACCTGTTTTCGTCACTTGTGGAACTTAGGAACTCCAGGGTTCTCCCGGCCACGGTCTCACACTAGTCTCTGTAGAAGCTCAGTTGATGTCATGGGAGGTGGTTTGGCTGGCAGGAGCACATTCTGGGCTTAATTGTCCACATGGCAATGCAGCAAGGGTAAATGCTGAGTCTCTCCTTCTGCTGAGTACAAAGCATGAAGACTCCCCTCTCCACAACACGCGGCCATGCTGCTTGTTGCCTGGCAGCCTCCGCCATCCTACACAACAGGGCTCTGTGGTTCAGCCACACGGGTTAGGGCGTAGTGGTGATAACGGGCTGTGTGTTCAGAGGGAGCGAATTTCGCTCTGAATGTCGATGTGGTCATCTTTGTTCCTATTGGGAAACAGCTGCCTCTCCCACGTTCTCAAGTTTGATATCTAATGCCAACTACGGGATAGGCATGGACACTCCTCCCTGCCAAGGATTCCTTCGGTAAAGGGAAGTTAATCAACGGAAAGACCAATCACAACTGGGACAGCTTGCGTAGGGGTGCCGTGATACATAGACCCAACGGCTCCCTCACAGGGGCAAGAGACTTCACATTGCATTACACGCCTTTAACCTGGGAATGCATCGGGGTTGGCACTGCGGTATGTTAGACTAAGTCTCTGTTTCACGTACAAATCTTATATGGATGCTGGTTTGTGACCTGTCTGCTATTCTATTCTTGTGTGTTTATCCTTTATTCTTTCATTGTACGTTACAATTTTATAGGGTCTGTGATTCCGTAACTCCTACCCAAACCCCTCCCCCTGACTGATGTTCACTGTGCTATTACAATAGTGTTGTCTTTCATGAACAGACATAATCTATCATTCTGTTACTGCAGTGAGTCCTGACATTGCTGGTACAGACAGTGCAAGACAGTCCAGCATCCTATTGTCAAGTTACATCCAGAAGTTTCATTGGGACTCCAGTTTCGATTTGGCCACCCATCCTCAACCTCCCTGTCTCCGCAATGGACAGGAAGAAGCAATGTCAGGGTCAGGGTACAGTCCAGCTCTGAATGCTTACAACAGATTCTAAGGGTATTGGAAGGCTGGGCAGGGTGCTCTGAAAATGCCCAGCCAACCAGCCAGGCGAGTGGGCTCTGCAAACAGCAAGGGAGGCAGGCATGAAGGTGTGTGAGAGGCATGTGCGAGAGGTGCTAACCCAACAGGCTCCCCAATAAGAACGAACCCTGGGGTCCTCCCACCTGTTCACTTAACACAGCAGCATGTCAGAATGCAAACGCTCTCTCGGCTTCCGGTCCTGACATGTGAAGAAACAGTAGCTCCACTGAGACAGGGGGTGAAAGCGAACTGGCACTGTGTGAACACACTGCACTTCCATTCCAATGCTGGTTTCCCCGCAGCACCCTGGACCTCATTGGGACTAACACATCTGGAAATAGGCAATTTATGGGGAATAGCTCTCTTGTGAGTGACTCTGTGCAGGGCATTTTTTGGGAAATTGTTTTCTTTGGCTTTTATGATAAATGTATAACTGTATGTATCGGCCCTCGCTCTACTTCTCACACAATGATGGAAAATTGGTCATTTCTCCTTGAAAATAAATGTCTGTATGTTTCTATTGAGTATAGCAACAGCCTAGATAGAAAACGGGAAGCTGAGAGATCCCACAGGGCTGGATACAGAGAAAACTCACTTAATCCTTGCTGCAGGAAGATGCCATGGAAACCCAGGGAGTTCCATGTGCACATCCCACATGACAGACGCTGGGCTGCAGTGGGCACTGGGTAAGGATGGGTGAAGCAGTGGACAGCACTGTCCCTGACTGCCAGCCAACAGGGATGCCTTCTTCCCAGAGCAAGGTGAAAGGAGATTCCGTGGCCAGGTGCCCAAGATGATCCTGGGTCAGGGGGCATTCTGCTGTCCACCCTGATTGTACATGGCCTGGGGAGGGGGTTTCAGGAGGTGTTGCAGTGTTCGGCACCCACTCTGCTTCATGAAGCTAGGTGCCCCCTGACCTCTGCGGGATTGCAGAAACAAATCAGCTATTTTCTCAGACTCTGGGAACTCTCCTCTTGGGGGGGGGGGGGGAGGAACTTCTGCCCAGGCTGTGGTGAGTGAAAAGTAAGGAGCTTGACCAGGGGTCTGGATCCTTGCCTGTCTGACTCAGTGCCCACCAACAGGTTGGGTTCTCCGAGGCTCTGAGTCCACTTGTGGCACGCAATGAACCCACTGTTTCCCTGGGCTAAGCGAGGGCGGAGGTTGTGAGCACCCCAGCCAGCCATGACATCCCTGCCTCCCAATGTGTTCCCAGCCAACACCCAAACAAACAACTATCATTCCCTGGTCAAGGAAACCCACGGAGGCTACCCCAGTGTGCAGTGCCGAGCAGGAAATTGGGACAGCCCGTGTGGAGGAGCTAAGTGACCGACACCATGTGGGTGCCAATGCCACACCGGGAGAACCCTGGGCTTGAGGACTGTGGAGTTCAAAGCACAGAAAGTGGTAGCATCCCTTTCTGAAGCACATAGAACTTCTTCCCCGACTCCTCAGACACATGGCCCAAGAGTGCTGTGTCCATCAGACCCCGACTGACACCCCCATGTTTGGGGGCAAGAGGTCAGTGATACCACCTCCCTCCCCCCCACGCAGGAATGTGGACTACCTTCGCCTCCCAGCTTTCGGGGCCATGACAGGTAACCAGCAGGACTTTCAAGATCAAAGATATAAGCAAAGGACGCCTACCGTCTGAAGGCAGGTTTCTCCGCCGGAAAGAGCGGACTCACGTAGACGTAGTATAAACAGACGGGGAAGAAGGCAGCGAGCATCACGTCTCCATCCTTGGACACGCCGTGGTCCACTAGGGAAAAGCATTTGGAGAGATTGACCCGGCACACAAGACAGGGAAGCTGCAGGATGAGAAGGAGAAACAGCGGAAGCAGCATCTGGGATTCTGTGCAAAATGCTAAGGAGCAGGGCAGAAGACAGGCATGGTGAGGCAGGTGCACGCGTGCATCATGTGTGTGTGTGTGCTGACTGTGGACGGGAGGGGCCCGTCTAATAGTCCTCCAGTTGAATACTTACAGATTCCCTAGAGGAACGCAGAGCGCTCCTGTCCCCGGGGCCCTGCCGGTGCAGGATCCTATGCAGGTGAAAAACACAAGATGGAAAATATGTTTGCTCGGCATCCTCACCCGCCGCAGGGGCCGTCATGTTGTCCAACTCCGTGGACAGCAAAATCCCAGGCGGAGTGCCCCATGAGATGTGCATTGGAGACCTTGTCAAGGAAGCACTCTGAGCATCCAGGTGGTTATGAAACGGGCTGGGTGAGATCACGCAGTAGCATCCCAACTTGAACTGCCCCATCCCTCCAAAAAAAAAAAAAAAAAGTCCAGAAGAAGAGGAAGCAGCTACACACTTTGTCCTGGTCTCCACTTTGATCTCACACCAATCCTAGGTGTGGAAATACCCACAAATATATCCCTTTCCCAGTTAGCGTGGAAGCACAACTCGCTTTTAAGGTTTGTTTATGACCATTGCTAAGCAGACTTGCAAAGAGAAGGAGAGGGGCCCGGCGCGCTGGCGCAATGGTTAAGGTCCTCGCCTTGCACGCCCGGGATCCCATATGGGCGCCGGTTCTAATCCCGGCAGCCCCGCTTCCCTTCCAGCTCCCTGCTTGTGGCCTGGGAAAGCAGTGGAGGGACGGCCCAAAGCCTTGGGACCCTGCACCCGCGTGGGAGACCCGGAGGAGGCTCCTGGCTTCGGATCAGCATAGCATCGGCCGTTGCGCTCACTTAGGGAGTGAATCATGGGACGGAAGATCTTCCTCTCTGTCTCTCCTCTCTGTATATCCGCCTTTCCAATGAAAAAATAATAAAAATAAATCTTTTTTTAAAAAAAAAGAAGTATATTCATACATCATTAAGCACCCCTCTTATTTTTTCTTCCTCCTATGAGCACCAAGGTCCCGATATTTCCCGCCTTTTCTAAGTGGCAGCTTTGTGGGGAACGGGCACGCACTGCATGCCCACCCCCTCTTTTTTTTTTTTTTTCTTATTCAGGGACGCAATTATTCCTATGGAAATTATTAATTCAATCACGCCTCAGGATTTGAGGACTCCATGTGTGGGTGAACCTTAGCTCCTTGCATTGTAAGCCCGTGTCTGCCTGTGTTACCCGCCCCCCGTCTTTCTCCCTTACAGGAAAGTGAATTGCACCCTAACAGCGTGTTGGAATGGCAAGGACGATTCCGCTGTTGTCATGTGGCTGCCCGGAATCCTGCCTGCGCCACTCGAGGCTAACGGAGAGGCCTCTGTTGGCCTGATCAGACGTAAAACAGACTTTGGCATCATAACATCCATCATCGTAGCCAGCGTTGCCCTGGCGTCGGCGGCCACCGCCACAGCAGCGGTGACCCTAAGACACCCTACAGCGACCGCTGTACAAGACCATGAACAAGCTCATGGAACAGACTGCCAGAGTCGTGGGACAACAGGCCTTTATTGATGAATACGTGTTTCACGCTTTGTGGCCTGCGTGCTTGTGTGTGGTCTGTGGCTGAACTCTGTGTGTGTGTGTGTGTGTGTGTGTGTGTGTGTGTGTCTTCACACACACACAGGAGCCAGCAGGATCGGTTGATGCGCTTAACGCTAGACCCACCGTGGGCTGTGCCTGCACAGTGTGGTGGGTATGACTGGCCTGACCACAGCTGCCCCCATGTGTCAGGCTGTGTGCCCGTGTGTGTGTTTGTGTCAGCCACACGTGTGTATGTGTTTTTCCGGGGGCACCTGGACACTCCCTCTCCCAGCCTGTCCATGGGCAGGTGCTGGCTGCTGGCTTCTGGCTGCTGTGTTTTGGCCTCGGCCGCCGGGCTGTGTGGCTCTCAGTGTGGTCCACCTTGCCCTGCTTGTTGTCGCTGCCCCCCGAGTGTGGCAAGCATCGTCTGCTTCGGCTTGGTTTGCTCAGATGGTGTGTGTGTGTGTGTGTGTGTGTGTGCGCCCGTGTCTGGGAGTCCCTGTGGCCAAGGTGACAGGGCTGTGTGTGTGTCTAGACCGGCCCGGAGAGCTGGGGTGTGTGTGTGTGTGTGTGTGTGTGTGTGTGTGTGACTGTGCACACACATTCCTGCCCTCTAACTGGCCACTCGGGGTCATGCCCATCTGCCCAGCTGGCTGATCATCTACAGGATGGACAGGAGACACTGTCTCCAGCCCCTCCCTTGGGTCAGGGTCAGGACCCAGGCGTGCAGGGCAGCAGAGATGGGGAGCTGCCGCCAGTCAGCCAGCGTGGTGGCGGTGGTCGTGGGTGGGTGGGGGGTGGTCCCTGGCAAGGCACCAGAACGAGGGTGAACGAGGGCAGGGAGGCAGCGACGGGCCCAACAGGTTCCGTCTCATTCCTGCCCCACCTCTCACTTCCTGGGTGCCCGCCCTGGGCTGCACAGGGTGAACCCCATGGCCTCCAAGTGGAGTGCCTGGGTGAGCCAGAAGCCTTAGGTTGGCACTGGGTGGGGGGGACACCAGGGGATCTCAGGCGGGAGTAGCCCCCTCCCCGACTCCAGTGTCCACCTCAGGACCCAGACGTGCAGGGCAGCAGGCCACACGCACAGCCACAGTGGGTCCTGGGTGCCCAGGCTAGGTAGGCGGGTATGGACGCCAGGCGCCGGGTGTCTAGGGGGAGGAACCCCCCAAGATCCAGGCTGCAGGGCACACGTCGCTGTCCATCAGCCTGGACCTGCGTCTTGGCGTGTCCCCGCCTCCCCCCGCTGGTTCGGCTGGCTCACACTGACCCCTAGTGACCAGCGCGCTGCCCGGCTGCCCGGATCCAAGATGGCGGGGCCGGCGTCGCTCACGTGCTCCGGCGGAGGGCGGGGCCTGCGCCGAGGGGGGCGGCGCTCTAGGCCGAGCGGGAGGTCGGGGTTGCGGGCGGCTCGGTGGTTGGCAGAGGCGGACGCGCGGCTGCTGCGCGCGGGGGGCTCGTTGTCCCGCGTGGGATCCGATGAGGAGCCATGAGCGTGGACAAGGCCGAGCTGTGCGGGCCTCTGCTCACCTGGGTAGGTCGTGTGTGGGGGGGGGAGGCGGGGCTGGGAACAGGTGTGCACCCCCTCCCCTCCCCCCGCAGCTCCGGTTTGTCCACTCAGGGTCAGGGCCTCCCGGCCTTGGTGGGATGGAGGGAGCTGGAAGGTGGAGGAAGGAGGTGGACGGGGAGGGGGGTCCTCGGCCTCCACCTGGGCCCCTGCGGACGTTGGACTCTGCTCAGACCACCCCCCCACACACACACACACCCCATCACGTGGCAGGTGTGCGTGGAACAGGTGAGGGCCCGCCCTCCCTGGCCGTGGGCACAGGTGAGCTGGCCGAGTCACGTGGTGCCCGGGAGGCTCAGGTGACTCACTCCCCGGTGATGCATCCTGGACTTTAGTAGAGGGGCAGGACGGAGGTGCATGGAAGCCACTGGCCGGTCCAGCAACAGGTCCTCGTGCATCCGTCCACCCTTCCTGCCAAACTGGGCTAAGGGCGAGGGTCCCCCCCACATGTCCCCCCTCTCCCCCGGGGAGCCTGACTTTTACCTTTTCCGTTTTCCCTCCCCACCCCTCGGCAGTTACAGACTTTCCAACTTCCATGCCCCTGTGCCAGCGCCCTGGACCTGAGCAGTGGCCTGGCCATCGCCCACGTGCTGAATCAGATGTGAGCTGGAGGGGTGGGAGGGAAGGAAGGAGGAGGACTCCCCTCTCCCCACCCCCCAGGGGTCACCCAGCCAGCTCATCCTCCCACCTCGTCCCCAGAGACCCCTCCTGGTTCAACGAGTCATGGCTCCAGGGCATCACGGAGGACCCAGATCCCAACTGGAGGCTGAAGGTGATGACCGCTGGACACGTACCCAGGGACACACACGCGGAAGGAGTATTTCTTACGCAGCAGTTTAGCACCCACTCTGGGTAGCCCTTATTCTAATGGTCTGGGGGAAATGCTTCGTATACAAATCAAACAATGACTCGGTGGCTAAAATGCTCCCGTTACAAGGACCGGGATCCCACGTGGGTGCCAGTTTGTGTCCCGGCTGCTCCACTTCCCATCCAGCTCCCTGCCTGTGGCCTGGGAAAGCAGTGGAGGACGGCCCAAAGCCTTGGGACTTTGCACGCAACATGGGAGGTGCGGAGGAGGCTCCTGGCTCCTGGCTTCAGCTCAGCTTAGCTCTGGCTGTTGTGGTCACTGGCGGAGTGAACCAGTGGGTGGAAGACCTTCTCTTTGTCTCTCCCTCCCTCTGTAAATCTGCCTTTCCAATAAAAATGAATAAATTTAAAAATAATAAGTTGATCTGTAAAAATTATATATATTTTCCCCCTAAGATTTATTCATTTCCTTGAAAGACAGAGTTACAAAGACAGGGAGAGACAGAAAGATCTTCCATCCTCTGGCTCACTCCATTTGGCCTCAACGGCTGGAGCTGAGCCCATCCAAAGCCAGGAGCCAGGAGCCTCTTCCGGGTCTCCCACACAGATGCAGAGTCCCAAGGCTTTGGGCCGTCCTCCACTGCTTTCCCAGGCCACAGGCAGAGAGCTAGATGGGAAGTGGAGCTGCCGGGACTTGAACCGGTGCACACAGGGTTACCTGCAATGCCACAGCAGCAGAGGTGGGTGGGCAGTGACCAGGGCCGTGAGAGAGGGAGAGCGAGGTGGGTGGGCTCTTGAGTGGCCCTGATTCCCGGGTGTGACGGGGAAGCCCTTTATCCAGCGGGGCAGAGCTGCTGAGTGTAGGCTGCGCTGTGGGTACCGAGGTCCAGAGAGCTAGAGGAAGGGCAAGGAGGTGTTGGGGATGACGTGACGGGCCCGGCAATCTGTGGTGTGTGTGTGTGTGTGTGTGTGTGTGTCTGTGGCTGGGATCTGTCCTGCCCCCGGGGGTCCCTCCTACACAGCCGCTTGCCCGTCCCCCTAGGTCCGCAATCTCAAAACCATCCTGCAGAGCGTGGTGGATTACTCCCAGGCTGTGAGTTAGCGCTAAGGGGCTTCTGGCGGGTGGGCTGGGCTGGGCTGCACTGGGCTGGGCTGGGCTGGGCTGCGCTGGGCTGGGCTGGGTTGCACTGGACTGCACTGGGCTGGGCTGGGTAGAAGGTGGCGGGTCCAGGAGCCCCAGGCACTCCCTCCTCCCGCCCTGCCTGACCCTCTCAGGTTTTGGGGCATCCTGTGTCGGAGCTGCACCTGCCGGATGTAAACCTCATCGGGGAGTTCTCGGATCCGGCGGAGCTTGGCAAATTGCTGCAGCTGGTGCTGGGCTGTGCCATCAGCTGTGAGAGAAAGCAGGGTATGGTGGGAGCACTGGCATCCGGGTGGTTTGAGGGAGCCCCGAGACTTCTCCTAGTTGCCCTGTGTCTCATTCTCACCCTACCCCCCCCCATTTCAGTCCCTACATCTTCCAGTCTCCACCCCCTGGCTCTCAGTCTCCACCCCCTGGCTCAGTCTCCACCCCCTGGCTCTCAGTCTCCGCCCCCTGGCTCTCAGTCTCCGCCCCCTGGCTCTCAGTCTCCACCCCCTAGGTCTCAGTCTCCACCCCTGGCTCTCAGTCTCCACCCCCTAGGTCTCAGTCTCCACCCCCGGGCTCTCAGTCTCCACCCCCTAGGTCTCAGTCTCCACCCCCTGGCTCTCAGTCTCCACCCCCTAGGTCTCAGTCTCCACCCCCTGGCTCTCAGTCTCCACCCCCTAGGTCTCAGTCTCCACCCCCTGGCTCTCAGTCTCCACCCCCTGGCTCTAGTCTCCACCCCCTGGCTCTAGTCTCCACCCCCTGGCTCTCAGTCTCCGCCCTTCCCCCCAGAGCATATCCAGAGGATCATGACCTTGGAGGAGTCCGTGCAGCACGTGGTGATGGAAGCAATCCAGGAGGTGTGTAAGGGCTGGGGAGGGCAGGCGCCCGGCATGGCGATGGGGGTGGCATCGGGGGCGGGGACGGGGAGCCGGCTGTTGACTGCTGCTTCCAGGGCAGAGGTATCTGGGCACTGCCTGGAAGTCAGCTGGCCTGCCAGCTCTGTCTCATGTGTCTGCCAGCTGCCAGCCACACTCCGGCAGGCCTGTCCGACTGCTCCTGCTGGAGGAGCCGGAGGTCATGGGCCAGCCCCTCCGGTTATCTCACAGAGCGGCCCTGGGTTGGCGAGTGCTGTGGCATGGCAGGTTCAGCTTGCAGTCCTCAGCAGAACACTAGTTCTCTGCTGACACACCTGGGAAGGCAGCTAAGGATAGCCCAAGTGGTTGGGCCCCTGCACGCACGTGGGGACCTGGATGGAGCTCCTGGCTCCTGGCTTCAGATTGTATCAGCTACAGCCATTGTCTCTCTTCTGTATAACTGTGCCTTTCAAGAAAAAAAAAACAAATCTTCAATTTTGAAAAAGATCTATTTGTTTGAAATCCGGAGTTTACAGAGAGAGATCTTGTATGTGCTAGTTCATTCCCTAACTGACTACAGTGACCCAGGCTGAAGCCGGCAGCCGGGAGCTTCCAGGTCGCCCTGTGGCTGTAGAGGCCAGCCGCCCTAGCAGGGAGCCGGAGCACAAGTGGAGCCGCTGGGACAAGAACCTGTGCCCCTCTGAGATGCTGGCACTGGAGCGTAGTGGGTTCAGCCACCCCCCCCCCAGATGCAGCTCCTTCAACAGCCCGTCCTCTCGGCCCCCCGCAGCTCATGACAAAGGATACCCCCCCAGACTCCCTGTCCTCAGACACCTATGGCAACTTTGATACCCAGGTGAGGGATGCAAAATTGCCCACTAAATGCCAGAACTGGGTTGGGTATGCAGATGACCCTCGCTCCCTATCCTAGAGGGTCCCAGGGTGCCCACGCCACCCGTCTCTCCCAGGCTGTAGGGATCCTGGCCATCCCAATATGTGATAGCCCCTCAGTCCCGTGGCCTGACCCCCCCTCAGTCCCGTGGCCTGACCCCCCCTCAGTCCCGTGGCCTGACCCCCCCTCAGTCCCGTGGCCTGACCCCCCCTCAGTCCCGTGGCCTGTCCCCCTCAGTCCCGTGGCCTGTCCCCCCTCAGTCCCGTGGCCTGCCCCCCTCAGTCCCGTGGCCTGTCCCCCTCAGTCCCGTGGCCTGTCCCCCCTCAGTCCCGTGGCCTGCCCCCCTCAGTCCCGTGGCCTGTCCCCCCTCAGTCCCGTGGCCTGTCCCCCCTCAGTCCCGTGGCCTGTGCCCCCTCAGTCCCGTGGCCTGTCCCCCTCAGTCCCGTAGGTATTACTTTCTGAGTGAGGAAGCCGAGGAGGGGGACGACCTGCGGCAGCATTGTCTGGACCTGGAACGGCAGGTAGGGCCGGCCCAGGGGTGGGACGAGTTGGGGCCGCATCCACAGGTGCTCCCAGGGGTCTCGGGCACCTGCGCAGTACATCTTCTGAGTCTCCCCCCACCTCCCGCAGCTCATGCTGCTGTCAGAGGAGAAGCAAAACCTAGCACAGGAGAACGCTGCGCTGCGGGAGCGTGCGGGCCGGCCTGCGGCGGAGGCGACGGAGAGCCCCCAGGGTGCACCAAGCATCACCAATAAAAAATTGCTACTGTTGCAGTCACAGCTGGAACAGCTGCAAGAGGAGAACTTCAGGTGCCAGCTCACGGGGGGTGTGGACTGGCGGGGGAGATGTCCCCGTGGGGTGGCCAGAACAGGCCCTGCCTGCACGCACCCCATTCCAGGCTGGAGAGCGGCCGGGAAGACGAACGCCTGCGCTGCGCCACGTTGGAGCGGGAAGTGGCCGAGCTGCAGCAGCGGAACCAGGCGCTGACCAGCCTGGCCCAGGAGGCCCAGGCCCTGAAGGATGAGATAGATGAGCTTAGGTGAGCGACAGGCGCCCTGGAAGCCCCTGTGTCATCCACAGATTCCCAAGGAACCCCCTCAATGCTCCCCAGAACCCCAACATACTCGCTATGTCCCCTCATTGCCCTCTTCTGTACCCATCGTGTCCTGGGGTTCCCTCTAGACACCCCCGTGTGTCACACTCCCCATTTGTTCTTTGTGTACCGCCCCTCCCCTCCAGCAAACACAAGAGTCCCCCTTTCCCCCACAAGGCTCTCTGTGTCCCCAGGAAGGCGTCCTTCCGTCCCAGGATCTGAACCCTCCCCGCAACACCAGGCATTGAGCTAATTCCTTTCCCACTTGTCCTCTGCCTGGTCCCTCCCCCAGGCAGACCTCCGAGAGAGCTGGGCAGCTGGAGGCCACCCTGAACAGCTGCCGGCGCCGTCTCGGGGAGCTGCGGGAGCTGCGGCGGCAGGTGCGGCAGCTGGAGGAGCTCAACGCGGGCCACGCGGAGCGCACGCGGCAGCTGGAGGAGGAGCTGCGCCGGGCAGGCTCCCTGCGCGCCCAACTGGAGGCTCAGAGGCGGCAGGTGCAGAGGGCGGGTCCTGGGGAGGTGTCCTGAATCGGGGATTTGGGGAGGAGGGGGAACTGGGCGCGCTTTGTGTGCGCCCGCAGCCCCTCCCAGGTTTGCGTAGACCACTGCCTTGTCTGGCCTCGTAAGCACCCCCTCTTTCCTCCTGCGGCACCTTCCACCCCAGCCCCGCCTCCTGTCATCTCCTCTTGGGGTTCAGTTGCAGGAAGTTCAAGGCCAACGACAGGAGGAGGCCATGAAGGCGGAGAAGTGGGTCTTTGAGTACCGAAACCTGGAGGAAAAGTTGGAGTCGGTGACGAAGGAGAAGGAGGTGAGACGGAGGTCCCCTTCCCGCTGCAACCGCATCCTAGGGGGTCCCCCTCCTCTCCCCAGCCTAGAGGGGGCTAGCTCTTCTGTCCTTGTCCCTGCAGCGGCTGCTGGCCGAACGGGACTCCTTGCGAGAGGCCAACGAGGAGCTGCGCTGCGCTCAGCTGCAGCCACGGGGCTTGACGCAGGCCGGTGAGCTGCACGCCCCTTGGAAGGGGGCGGCGTGGGTGGGTGCGTGGGGGTGGGGTAGCGGGGAGAGCCACCCGCAGAGGTGACCCCTGGAAAGGGGCCCCTACCCGAAGCCTTCCTTTGCATTCCTCAGACTCCTCCTTGAACTCTACATCTCCAGCAATGGAGAATTTAGCAGCGGAGATCCTGCCCGCCGAGCTCAGGTGTGCTGAAGGTGGGGGACGGGCATGCGTGCTTGTGTGTGTGTGTGTGTGTGAGAGAGAGAGAGAGAGAGACTGGCCAAGTGGCCCCACCCAAGCCTGCCCCCTACGCTCACCTCCCCAGTTCTGGCTGGGCTGCTATCCTAACTCGGGACCCTGCAGGATCCATCCTGAATAGACAAATTAGATCCGACCCACCTGCTTAAAAAGCCTACACCCCACCCCTCACACACTTGCATCTCAGGCCCTAGAGTCCAACCTTACCCTTGGCCCCGCTCCGGAGTCTGAGCCCTGGCTGGCTCTTCCTCTGTCCAGTCCCCCCGGGGTCTGGCTGGTCAGTCCCTGGCTGCTGGGGCGCCCCTGGCTGCGCTGCCCCGTCCCTTCCCAGCACCCCCAGTCCTGCTCACTCCTCCCCACGTCGTCGGGCGGCAGGGAGACGCTCCTGCGGCTCCAGCTGGAGAACAAGAGACTGTGCCAGCAGGAGGCGGCCGACCGCGAGCGGCAGGAGGAGCTGCAGCGCCACTTGGAGGAGGCCAACCGTGCACGCCATGGGCTGGAGGCGCAGCAGAGGTGAGCGTGGCGGGGTGCAAGGTTGTGGGCGTGGCAGGGTGCAAGGTGGTGGGCGTGGAGGGGTGCAAGGTGGTGGGCGTGGAGGGGTGCAAGGTGGTGGGCGTGGAGGGGTGCAGGTGGTGGGCGAGGAGGGGGTGCAGGTGGTGGGGAGGAGGGGGTGCAGGTGGTGGGCGTGGCGGGGTGCAGGTGGTGGGCGTGGAGGGGTGCAGGTGGTGGGCAAGGAGGTGGTGCAGGTGGTGGGCGAGGAGGGGGTGCAGGTGGTGGGCGTGGAGGGGCTAGGCGCCATCCCAGCCTCCTGAGCGTCCTGGGCCCTGGCAGGCTGAGCCAGCAGCAGGTGGCCGAGCTGCGGGCCCAGGTGGAGGAGCTGCAGAGGAGCCTGCAGGAGCAGGGCAGCAAAGCCGAGGAAGTGAGTGTCTCCCCTCGCCCTGCGCCCCTCCCTCGCCACCCCTCCTTCAGTAACACTACTTTCTCTGTCCTCCCCACCCCCCCACCCCGCTGCCCGCTGCCCGCTGCCTGGGGGCAGACCATTGTAAGTAAAGCCAGATAGGGTGACACCCAACCCATGTCATAGGGAGGTGGGGTTTCAGATCTTGGGGGCTTCCCCCCCCACAACTCACCTTCTAAATTTTCATCCTTCAGTCCCTGCTGAAGAGGAAGCTGGAGGAACACCTGTAAGTCACAGGGCAGCGGGGAGGGGAGCGCAGCCCCAGCACAGGTGTGGGAGAGTGGTGGGGGGCTCCGGAGGAGTTGCTGAAGGCAGGCGAGGGGGTCAGCCCAGGCACAGAGCCGTTCCGGCAGGGGTCCGGTAGGCTGAGAAGATGGAGATGGGTTCGCGTCTGGACACACCCCAGCACTTTTAAATTCACAAAGATGTCTTTTAAAGATGTGTTTCTTTGAAAGGCAGAGTTCCGGGTGGGTGGGCGGGGGGTGGGGAAGAGCGAGATGGGAAGATGTTCCGTTTCCCCGATTCACTCCTCAAATGGCTGCAAAGGCCAAAGCTGAGCTGATCCGAAGCCAGGAGCCAGGAGCTTCTTCAGGGTCTCCCAGGCGGGTGCTGGAGGGCCAGCTCCATTAGTAAGCCCAGCCTTGGCTATTGTCCTGGAAGTTTAGTAGACAAACTCAGAGGTTCTTACACATCGCCGCCGGGCCAGGACGGCTCAATTGGAAACCCTCCATCAGCAAGTGCCTACATCCTGTAGGGATGCTGGTTCGCAACAAGAGAAAAAAAAAATTCACATATCCAAGGCACAAATAGTCTCAACTTGGGGGAGTATTGTCAACACTTTGTGTTTGAGTGTTAGAGAGGGGCAGAGAGACGGGAAGATCTTCCATCTGCTGGTTCACTCCCCAGAGGGCGGCAATGGCTTGCTGCTGCATCCCCAGAGCCCATGGCAGGGAGCTGGGAGCCAGGAGCTTCTCCTGGGTCTCCCACGTGGGTGCAAGGATCCATGCACTTGGGCCAGCCTCTGATGCTTTCCCGGGTTCATTGGCAGGGGGAGCTGGATGGGAAGTGAAGCAGCCGGGACTCGAACCAGCATCTGTGTGGGATGCCGGTGTTGCAGGCATTGTCTTAACTCCATGCACCACCACCAACTTCGTCCCCGCGTTTGCTTTTGCCACAGACGTTGACTTTGCTGGCTAGGGCTAGGGGCGGCATGCAGGGTGGTGGCTGCTGGGGCCGGGGGGCACACAGCCGACCTCCAAGGTGGTGGCCCCACCGTGCCCACCCCCCCTCCACCCACAGGCAAAAGCTGCACGAGGCGGACCTGGAACTGCAGCAGAAGCGGGAGTACATGGAAGAGCTGGAGCCGCCCTCCGCAGCGGACAGCAGCAGTGAGCGAGCTGGGGACAGTGGTGGGAGGGCGGAACCCTGTGGGTGGGTGGGTGGGTGGGATGGCATGGCATGCATCCGCGTCCCCCGCATCTCCCCCGCAGCCGCCCGGCGCCTCGAGGAGCTCCAGCAGAGCCTGCAGAAGAAGGACGCGGACTTGCGGGCCATGGAGGAGCGCTACCGCCGCTACGTGGACAAGGCGCGTGCGGTGAGGACCCCCCCACCCACCCAGAGGCCACGCGGATTCCTCACCCCGCTCCCAGCCGCCCTATGCACGCCTGCCTGCAACATGTGGCCCAGGGCTTCCAAGGCCAAGATTACCTGAATTGAACCCCCTACCACCACCACCACCACCTCATCCCCACCATCCCCACCCCGCAGGTCATGCAGAGCCAGGAAACTAAGCCACGAGTAGCGCCTGCCGGGGCACCCCCAGAACTGCACACCCTGAGGTCGCAGCTGCGGGACCAGGAGGTCCGCATCCGGCACCTGGAGGTGGGGGGTCCCTGACTGCCGCGCATTGCCCCTTCTTCCCTGTTCTCTCCTGATATTCAGGCCCCTGCTTTTTTGTTTGTTTTTTAAGATTTTTTGGGGGGGCGGGGTGGTGGTTGGCATCATGGTATAGGGTGTTGAACTGAGGCAGTAGCGGCAACTCATGGGCATGGGTTCAAGTCCTGGCTGCTCCAGTCTCGATCCAGCTCCCCGCCCGTGCGCCTGGGAGGCAACAGGTGATGGTTTAAGTGCTTGGGTTCCCACACTCAACATTGAGAGACCCACAAGAAGCTCCCGGCTTCCGATCAGACCAGTCCGGCTTTGGTCCTATAAGTTCATTGTCATAGTGAAAGCAGCTTTACAAAAAAAAAAAAAAAAAAAAGTTTTTCTCTGAAAGGCAGAGTTTTCGAGAGAGAGAGAGGCAGTGGTCTTTCCCAAATGCCTTCAGCAGCCAGGGTGTGTGTGTGGCGGGGTTAGCGAGGGACAAGCTGAAGCCAGGATCCAGGCACTCCATCCAGGCCTCCCACGCGGGTGCAGGAGCCCAGGCACCTGAGCCGTCCTCGGTTGCTTTCCCAGGCCCACGAGCGGGGTGCTGGGTGGGAAGTGGAGCTGCCAGGATTGGAACCGGAGCTCCGATGTGGGCTGCTGGCTTCCCCCGCCGCACCGGGGCCTCTGAGTATCACCTCCTTGCCAGATGGACTATGAGAAAAGCCGGAGCCAGCGGGAACAGGAGGAGAAGCTGCTGATCAACGCCTGGTACAACATGGTGAGTCGTGAGGTCACTGTAAGAGGGAGGAGGGGAGCTCGGCTGACCTCTGACCCTTGCCATCCCTTCCCTCCATCTCTCCCTCCATCTCCCTCCCTCCTTCCTTCCCTCTCTCCCTCCATCTACAGGGTATGGCCCTGCAGCAGCGAGCCGGGGAGGAGCGAGCCCCTGCCCACGCCCAGTCCTTCCTGGCCCAGCAGCGCCTGGCCACCAACGCTCGCCGCGGACCCCTGGGACGCCTGGGGTCTCTGAGCCTTCGCCCGGCAGCCAGCGCCGACAAACATTGACAGAAGGCCCTTGGCCCCGGGGCCTGGCTCCCACCCCAGCATGTGCTGGGCAGCCTCTGGCCTGGGCCAGTTCATCTGTGACTCTTGACCTTGGCACTCCCGAGATTGGGGTGCCGGGGCTGGGCAGGTGGCAGTGATCTGATCACGTCCTGAACTTTTTTTTCTCTCTCTGGAGCTTACGTGCCGCTGGGGAGCGTGTGATTTTTATATTTGAGATTAATAAAGACTTTTTAAGCAGAGAAGTGGAGCTGCGGGCAGGCTGCGCAAAGCCCTGATAATGCCTGTGTAAGCGGCTGGTAACGCCCAGTGCGCGCCCAGAGTCCTGTTTGTGTGTGTCATGGTGCTTATGTTTGTTTGTTTTTATTAAGATTTATTTATTTTAATTGGAAAGTCAGATTTACACAGGAGAGACAGAGAGAAGGATCTTCCATCCACTGTTTACTCCCCAAGCGGCCACAACAACCCAAGTTGAGCTGCTCTGAAGCCAGGAGCCAGGAGCCTCTTCCAGGTCTCCCTCACAGGTGCAGGGTCCCCAAGGCTTTGGGCCGTCCTCCACTGCTTTCCCAGACCACAGATAGGGAGCTGGATGGGAAGTGGAGCAGCCAGGACACGAACTGGTATCCATATGGGATCCTGGTGCACTCAAGGCAAAGACTTTAACCACTAGAGTACTGTTTCAGCCCCCACCTCATTTAAAAATATATACATTTATTTTTATTGGGAAAATCAAGCTTAGAGAAGAGACAAAGATCTCCCATCTGCTGGTTCACTATCCAAATGGCTGCAGTGGCTAGAGCTGAGCTAATGTGAAGCAAGGAGCTTCGCTGGGTGTCGCAGACCAGCAGCGACACTACCTACGAGGCACACTCTTGAGGGTCTGGGAAACAGGATCTGCAACTGGACCCCTTATTGCAAAAAGCGACTGCCTTGATAACCCTTCTCCGCTGCTTTTCTCCCTGTTCTCCACCAATCACTTCTCCCCGAGGGTCCACTTGGCGCTACCTGATAGGCCGGTAGCAATGACATCATCGCAGCGAGGGTATCAGCCTATCCCCACGACTTCCTGTTTACCTGCTGGCGAGACCAACCCCGCCTCCTGGCCCTGGGCCAGCCGCCATCTTGCGACAACCCTTCCTATTCATGGGGGCCGCTCGGGCGCCCCGCTCTCCCCACACCTGGGGTCTCCCACACAGTTGCAGGGCCATTCTCTATTGCTTTCCCAGGCCACAAGCAGGAGCTGGATGGGAAGTGGAACAGCCGGGATAAGAACCGGCAACCCACTTGGTGTCGGAATCCATCCAACAGGATAGCTGTGACAGCGGAAGCCTGTGGGATCCTGTTGACAGGAGGTTCCAGGAAAAAGGAGGCAGAGGGCCTCGCCCCCACAGTGCACGCTTGCCCTCAGGCTTGCGAACATCTGTGCTCTGTCCAGTCAGTTAACCAAGGACAGACAGCACGCCTTACGTATTCCCTGTTTCAATGATGCTTTGGCCACATTGTCTTGTTAGCCTCCTTGAACTCGCTGCTCCCAGACACGATCTGGGTTGTGTCTGAACTATTGTCTTCCTGAGTGTATAAGAACTATAACCCTTAGGAGAATCAAGATGGCAGAATAGGGTAAGGACACGTTTAAACGGAGAAACATCAGCCCGTGTGAAGCAGAGAGGGCACATTCCAGGAAATAGGAGAGGACAGACCAACAGCAGAGGGGTACCTGGAGACTGACAGACACGGGAAAGCAGCGGGCACAACGGTGTGATGTTGCGATGACCGATACCCCAGTGGCATTCAGCTAGCGGGCGATCTGAACTCCACCAGCAGCTGGGTGGGCAGGGGTGTTCAATGGGAGCTCAGGAGGTGAACCCAGACAGGTGGTGCAAGAACAGGGTGGATTTCGCAGCCCAGTCTGCCTGCTAGAGCCATAGCGGACACCATTTTGTTTAAGGAGGCAAAGGGCATGGAACAGAACCTGCGCATGCTCTGAGCTGGGAGTGAACTCATCTCTGGCTCAGTGAACTACAGTAACGTGGCATCCTACAGGTTCCACCCAGGATAGGTCCGGGTAGCCCTCAGACCTGACGGCCAGCAGATCAAGAACTCTAGCAGTGGCACATCGGGCACCATTCTGTACAGCGTGGAAAGACTTTAAGACTGCAGGGACAACAGTGAGCCACGCGTGCGCTCAGCTGGGCGTGAACTCACAGAGCTCAGTGCATTGCACTGGTCCCACAGGGAAAATAATACTGACTGTAGCATCATACAGGTCGAAATAGGTCCGTGTGGCCCTCAGACCTAACAGCCAACAGGTTCTGGCAAGATCAGCTTTTCTATAACAACCTGGCTATCTAGGACACGTGGTGTTTCCCTAATCCTGGGACCTGCTCCAACCGGAAGTGGGAGAAAGGTTGTACAGACAACGGTGCAGCCTCAGCACAGCATCACAGGAGGTGGAGAGTGGTGAGCCAAGAGCTGGGGTTACAGAGACCATGGCGGAAATCTAACATAAGAACCCAGACCTGGAACTCACTGGAAAGAGTGGTACAAGTGACTGCAAACAAAGAGCCATGTACCAACAGCAATGAGTAAAATCGAACTGTAGACCTGTGGGTGTCAGAGCTTAGAAACCTGCCCCAAGGAGAAGACTCTGCTAACCAGAAGTACAATGACCAAGAGCAAAAGAAGAGACAAAGGCACCAAGGAATATTACCAAAAACTCCCCTGCAAAGTAGCAAAAGTCTTTTGTAAACCTCGGAGTTAACTCAAGAATACATTAAGAAAATGGGGGATACAGAATTCAAAACACTCGTTATAAAGCTTCTTATCAACAATGAGAAGCACAGAAAGCAGGAGTTGAATTTGAGGAAAATGTCACACAGGAAATGAATCAATTGAAAGCTGATCTAGCAGAAATGAAGAATACAGTGGAGCAAATTAAAAGCACAGCGGAGAGTCTCCAAAATGGAATGAAGGAAGCAGAAGAAAGAATCTTAAAATTAGAAGATATTTCCTGTCCCCAGGGGGAAACAAACAAAAAGCTGGAAGCAGAGCCGGGTTAAGCTAACAAAAAAGTATTTAAGAACTGAAAGACACTATTAAAAGGTCAAATAGAAGAGTTATGGGAGTCCCAGAAGGTGCAGAAAGAGAAGCTGGGATTAAAGGTGTATTCGATGAAATAATACAGGAAAATTACCCTAATCTAGAGAAAGAATTGGGAAACAACATCCAGGAGTGGCACAGAAGTCCCAACAGGGTTAACCAAAAAGCGAACTTCACCGCAACACATGATAATCAAGTTCTCTTCAATTAAACATAAGGAAAAGATCATTGGGCCTGGCGCCATGGCCGAACAACAAAAGTCCTCACCTTGAATGAGTCAGGATCCCCTATGGGCGCCGGTTCTAATCCCGGCTGCTCCACTTCCCATCCAGCTCCCTGCTTGTGGCCTGGGAAAGCAGTGGAGGACGGCCCAAAGCCTTGGGGACCCTGCACCTGTGAGGGAGACCTGGAAGAGGCTCCTGGCTCCTGCCTTCAGATCAGCTCAGCTCTAACCATTGTGGTCACTTGGGGAGTGAATCATCGGACGGAAGATCTTCCTCTCTGTTTCTCCTCCTCTCTGTATATTTAAAGATTTATTTATTTTCATTACAAAGTCAGATATACAGAGAGGAGGAGAGGCAGAGAGGAAGATCTTCTGTCCGATGGTTCACTCCCCAAGTGAGCGCAGCAGCCGGTGCTGCACCGATCCAAAGCCAGGAGCCAGGAACTTCCTCTAGGTCTCCCACGCGGGTGCAGGATCCCAAGGCTTTGGGCCGTCCTCCACTGCTTTCCCAGGCCACAAGCAGGGAGCTGGATGGGAAGTGGAGCAGCCACGATTAGAACCAGCGCCCATATGGGATCCTGACTCATTCAAGGCGAGGACTTTAGCTGCTAAGCCACGCCTCCGGGCCCAAAAAATAAACATATTTTTAAATGAAGGTAAGTTCATTTTGGTGCAAAGAAGTTGGAATCCAAGCTTTTTTTTTTTTTTTTGTGATGCATAATGTCCATCCATGAACTTTTTGAGGCTCCTGCCTATTTCTGTGTCTTACATATGAGACACGGAGCCTCCTGGACTCAGGCAGACCCTCAGATATGTGGAAACTGGATGTCAGCAACATCTTCACGCACTATGCTTGTTTTTAAAAAGATTTATTCAATTTCTTTGAAAGGTAGTGTAGAGAGAGGGAATTAGAGATTGCACAGCCCACTGGCTCACTCCCCACACGAGAGCTGGGCTCGGCTGAAGTCGGGCGCTTCGTCCCAGGGGGTCCCAGGACTTGGGCCAGGCCGTGCAGCTCTTCCAGGTACCATGAGCAGGGAGCTGGATCAGAAGTGGAGTGACCGGGATTCAAACCGGTACCCATAAGGACGCTGGCGTTGCAGACGGCAGCTTCACCCGCTGTGACGCAGCACTGCCTCCCCCCTCCTCTTCCCATAGTGGTGGCTTTTGAAGCAGCATGGAAGTGAGCAGCCGTATCAGCCTCAGAGAGGGCACACGCATTGGATGTGAGACAGGGTACAGAATTGAAGCGGCAGCTCGAGGCGTGGGGTGCCAGGGGTGGGTGAGGAACATGGCAGGTGCAAACACGCAGAGGTGAGGAGGCCTGTGGGGACAGGGCGCCCCGGAGTGGCTCGTGCGGGAGGTATGCACGTCCAGGAAGGCTTAGCGCATCCGCTAGCTCACCACGCGCGAGTCCATCACCCACGCGCTTATTGAGTTCCCGTGGGAGACCGTGTCTGTCCCCTTCTCCCCCAGGTTCTCACGGTAGAGTCTCCTCTTCTTCTCCAATAGGGCTGGGCAGCCAGGGTGGCGCAGGTCCCCGGGACCCGGGAATGGCCACGGAGGTGAAAGGTTCCACACCGGATCCGGGAATAGAAGGAGCAAGGGACTCTGCAGGCGCGGCAGGTTCAGGTTCCGCCTCGCGCGGGCCGGACTCGAGCAGCAGTGGGTCCCCGTGGTGGCTGCACTCGGGGCACGAGCCTTCGGGGCCTCCGCCGCCGGCGCACGTGCAGCTGGCCGTGGTGGACGCCTCGGAGACGCAGCTGTTCTTACGGCGCAGCAGGGACAGGCGTCTCCCGAGCAGGCCGCCCCCGGCCAAGCCTGCACCCGCGCCCGCGGGCAGGAGCCGCTGCAGCAAATCTCCGTGCGCCTCTCCCAGCGGTCCATCCGCGCCGTCCAGCCGCTGGATCTGC